ATAAAAAAAATGCATTATATTTTCTTAACACAGTTGTCAACGACTGTACTTCGGTCGTGTCTCAGATTATGCGTTGTGCACTTAGTACTGCAATTACTGGGGGAGACTACGTAGGGTAAGCAGACAGAGCACCATCATAAAATATACAAATAATTTGTTAATTACAAATTATTATTCATGTAAATTGTATTTGGGTACAATTTGCATTTTGTAGGCGCATATCAAAGGTGTAAATTGATTTAAGTGTCGACTTAAGTGACTGGGTGTGTAATGAGATTGTATATCTTAGAACTAGTACCTACTAAGGGACAGACAGCTTTGTAAGTACAGGCTTAAGTTTTTGTTAAAAACTTATGTTTGTTAGACCTTTTGATCGAATTGAATATATAAATTGATCGATTTCAAAAAAAGAGAAATAGTTGAAGTCAGTTCTTAAACGTAGTTCATATTATAAAAATATGCTATTCATATTTTTATCCTTATTTATATACAGTATTTGTGTTTCATCATATTTCAAGCTTTGTTTCCTGAATTAGATAGCAGTGTTAAATAATCCGGTCGTGTTACTTTTGTTAATCTTCCTTGCTTAAAACATGTAGGTACTTATTAAAAACCGTCTAAATATTGGCGTCTATGACAAATAAACTAAACACTGAATATTTTATTGCCTACAGTCTGCAAACGTAGAGGTATTATTTAGGTACAGAAAATCCGAACTTAAGTATAACAGACAGAATATGTCTTGTTATGTACGTACTATTTACTCGATTGTGTAACCTTCAACATGCCATATCACGATATTTGGTAACATACATTTATTTTCAATCTTTTCCACGAAAACTTAATCACAAAGTACTATAATATGGTTCTGCTATATAATTTTATCTATACATGTACCTACAAGAGTCTGACGACCTATATAATAACAAGCGGTGTATCGTGACGACAGAACAGTATATATTTTGTTGATTTTGGTTCGTAAGATGTAACTGTGTGGTGTGTATATGGTAGAAGGTTAACAAGTAATGAATAGACTGCAGATTTGACTGATACCATTGCCTTTTCCGAAATCTAATCTACAACTGACGTGGTAGCCCGGAGGTTTAAAACACCCGCTTCTCATGTATGAGGGTGGGTCCGAAACCTACCAACGGCAAGTACCAATGTGACATTTTTGAGAGTTTCATGTACTTTCTAAGATAATCTAGACAACACTGATAAACGGTGAGGAAACTTGGGTTTATAATTTCTAATTATAAGTTTGTAATCGCTAGCCTGCATTGAGGTAGCGTGATGATTAATGCTCAAACCTTCTCCATGTGAGAAAGAGCCTTTGCTCAGCATTTATAGGCTGTTGATGATGATGATGACAAATCTCCAACTCACTGGCCAAGCGTAGAAATTATGACAAACTCCTCTAAGTATTTGATTGCAAATATGATGCGTCATTGTAATGGAAATGTCATGGTGGCCTGGAGGAGAAGGTTGCTCTAGCATGATGATTGTCTTTAAAACGTTGTAAGAGAAGTTAACTGACACAAAACACGCCAAATGTATAATACCAATCAGCGGTACACAATATATAGCTAATCTTAGCAAGGATTTGTAACGTATCGCGTTTAAAATTGAACAAAGGGTCATTCACCCGCAATAACTCATTCATTAACAAACTTCATAAGACAAAGTTGAGCCTGTTTCTCGAGGAATACGATGTTTTATCGTTTTGTCTTTCACTACTCGATGGACGCCTTTTAATCTTCTTTTATTTGTTTTAAGTAGTTTAAATGTACTTAAAACTGCGACTGGTTGAATGCTGAATATGGTAAACCTTTTTTTATAGAGAAAGCTCATAATTCAGTAGTGAAACATGATAAATATTATGTGTACTAAATCAAATGAGAAACTATTGAATATACAGCTGCGGATATTCTACTAAATTGTCAGAATCTAAACGATTAATCAGCCTAATCAGTTGAAAATTAAGAGAAGAATATGGAAAAATTCCCCGAAGGAGATAAAAGGGAATTAACTAAAATTTTACCTAAGATAAAGTTATCTGAAGAATTATAAGTTCGAAGAAATCTTGCTGACAAATCAAATCAAACCAAAATTATTTATTTGCAAGAAATACAATTTGGTTCACAAGGAAAGATCTTATAACCTAAAAGTCACTGCAATCTGCCTTCAAGCAAGCGTGCAATATTATAATTATGTAAATGAATAATTATGTTGTGAATGAAACCTAATGTAACCTATTGTAATTTGATGAAATCTAATCTTTGTCTGTCTATTCTAAGAATGCTTAATGTATGAGATGCTAATTGTTTTATTTTTCTTATTTTTTGTTGTTGTTTCCTATGTTTGTTCTAATTGTGTGTTCACCTTAAATAGATTTCAGTTTATGGGAAATTATTATTTGTGTTTAATAATTTAATTTTTGTGTTAATTTAATAGTTGTGTTTTATGTTTATTAATTTAATTTAATTTAATAATTTAAACTTGGGCTAATACCTAACTATTCTCTTGAGCATGATGTGTTAGCCTTTAAACTGTCAAACACCAAGCGGTCACCGGTGACCGCAACCTATTGTTCTATAATTGTGTCTACAAAACCGGTACTCGACGAGTTAATTGATTGTTACACTAGCAAATGCATACTGTACCTAAACCGATTTGTTGTAATATGATGTGTAAACAGTCGTTGGCTGACCTAAATAAATAAATAAATAAATAAATAATATAATACAAACCCTAACCAAAAAACTCTTGCAAAATTTCACGCAGTCCAAGTCTCATACAAAAGCTAGCCCTATATAAAACGAGTATACATGAGTCGAAAGCGAATTATCTTCAAACAATTCGATAAAACCGTATCATTGTGTGAGATTCATCCAATAATAAACGATGTGAAAATAATATTAACACTCGCTGAAGATATCCTTACCGAAATATATTTCAATTTTAATATCCAATGAACCAATGCGATTCACGATCTCACAATTCACGAATTCGAGATACTCAATGTTAAAGTTAAAGTTTAAATATATACCTATGCTCGTTATTATTAAGATTAAGATATTTTAAGACAATCGTATGAAGTGCATTTGTGTTGTTCTTTACACAACACCTCATAGCCTCCTAAATATGATGATGACAGGGACAGAAAATCAAAAATCTAATTAGTCCGTCATTCCGTCCGTATTTTATTATTATGTCGTATAAGAAAACAATACTGCTTAGATAAAACGAATCAAAGTTTTGGAGTGGGGGGTAGATACGTCATTTTAGAGTATAAATCGTACGCAAAAGTGACTTCATGCGATATTTCAAATCAATATATCTTCGAAACTATTCGTTTCCATAAGAAAGTAAACAATACGTGTCTAATGTTTTTAAATAATCTACCAAAATAAAAAGTAGTCATCTACCCTACTCGTTCTATTCTATCTGTATGGAATATCTGTTCTTCCTGCAACTGTTCCGTAGAATCACAGTTTTAACCATGTGGTCACGACAGAGACTTTAGACACTATCGCTGCTCTTCGCGCGGATATCGATTATGGGACTACCATATATACAGGGTTACACCCTGTATGGGAGAGCTCCATGAAGAAAGAAACACAAAAGGCACAAGGAACGCCGACAAGTGAAGGTCAAAGACAAGTTTTCTTTCATGTAATAATAGTTTTAACCAACTGCTCAACGCTGATGTTGCATGAATAACATGAACTCAAAAACTATAAAAAATAATGGCGCTGTTTTTAGGGAGCTTTGCGTTTACACCCTGTATTTAACAAAAAACCGGGCAGCAACGTTCTCTGATAAGCCTAATCTTTTTAAACTGCAATTAAAAAAAAACAACCCGCTTGCTAAGCAATAAGAAACCCCTGTTTCAAGCAGGTCTGTACCAGCAGCGTACTAAAAAAAACACGGTCTACTGGTATAAAGTTACAGTTCTCAATAGGTATCTACCTGTTATTAAATAGCACATACTATTCTACTGTTCGGTGTATCAGTACATTTCGATAACAGAATATAGAATAACAGGCTTTTATTTGAGCTGAGATTGCTGATGGCGTGATTTAAGCACGAGAATAACTGTTATTTATTATTACTATATGATACTCGTATCTGTTATTTTACCTGTGACGATAAATACGTTTCATACCTAATCCTTATAAGGTTCATACTGTAGTCTAGACGATTATTAATTGCAGTATTTCAGGCGTACTGTCTATGAATAGTTGACTTTTTACGTAACTTTTTATGATTAGTAAATTAGGTGCTTTATTAATTTTGACAAGTTTGATAGTAATCAAGTATTTATTGTTTATTTTAAGGTAAGAATAAGTATGAAGTATATGTCTTAATGTATAGCGCATACGACGTTCGTAAAATAAATAAACCTTCATAAGACAAATCAATCGCGTTTCGAGTTAAAGGAATCTATGTACTTATCTTATTAAATAAACACAAGTCTAGCCTTTACAAATTGAGTTCTAGACTAAAGCCTAACTAATGACTAACAAATGAATTTGTCAATGGTTGAAAAACCTTTAAAGCATATTAAATCGTTGGTCACGTAACTCAGGTTAATTGTACCGAACCCACTGTTTCACGGAACCGATTTCAAAGAAACTTACCTACTATAAAAGTGACGTATTTGTGACGTCATACCCGTTTGACGCCAAAGTCTAATCAACTATCTATAAAACAAAGAACAAATCAGACTAGTTCTACTGAAGTGTAAGGAATTCTGAACTGCATTGTAAATACTACTAAAGAAAGAAAACTGCAAACTTCAGCAATTTACATACATACAATATCAGCGAAATAAGATGTCATCGCTTGGCAAAATGAAAAATTAAAAGTAGGGAAATACATACATCTTTGGCCAAAGATGAACGCAAGCTTTTCGCTAGGCATGTTACAGTGCAAACTCGGAATTAGGCAATTAGGAAACATTCTGGAAATAGGGGAATTTGAAATTTAGAACTTACGTTGTGCCGTGGTGACCATGAGTTGCACATCAACGATGCGTCTTCCAATATCCGACTCTGGAAAGAAAAATCCTCGTTCTTTTATATACACTTGTTTTTTGCATGCACCAACAACGATATTATTTCACAACTGGGTGTATTCCAGGACTATTCATGCAATTTCATTCGAAATAAATTATAGGTAAGGGAAGGATTTCCAACAGGCCTGTGTTTATTTTAGCCATTTGTTATTTGTAGTAATGTTTAAATTAATAATAGGTAACGTACGTTTTATTGAATGCTTCAATTTACCGACTGTTATTCGGACGAAGGTTTTCAATAATATTGACGTGAATAATTATATTTTATTCAAACCATTTTACATTTGGTTACGTGTTTATGAAGTGATTTTAAAAACAATGAACAAAAATGTATTTTCACGAGTTGTATTTTTAGTTTGGTTCGTGTATTTGTATTTTAGGAGAAAAATTGTTGTAATCAAGTGAAAATGTCACGTAACCCGATTACCGCGAAGTCTTGTAGCGTAGAGAAAATATAAAGGCGTCCACGGTACCTGGTCCTACGTACAAAGAAAATTTATTGCCTTCTCTTAGGATTACACTCACTTCGCACGAGATTAAACGCGGTACCTACCTAATAAACTAACAACACCTGTTAATCTCTTTTAACAAGTCTACTAAGAATTCTAAGAATGAACGGAAATATTATGTTTTAATAAAAATATGAGATATTTCTAATGCCATTATAATTGTATACAAAAAAAAACAAGAATTTAGTATTATATTTTCCGGGTTACTCAAGGAATTATTGAGGAGGACCTCGACTAGTTTCAAGCCATACTAGAGTCTGAGCAGCATTCCGAGAAACGCGACGCGGCGACTGTCGCGCTGCTGCTAGAGTCATATAACATACATAACACCACGCCTTTTCTCCCCGAAGGGGTAGGCAGAGGTGTAGGTACATTATGCCACTGTACAATGTAACACCCACTTTTCACTATTTATGTTATGAGTCCCATGTAATAGGTGGTGAGCCTATTGCCATATACCGGGCACAATTTCAAGCTCCATGCTACTACTGAGATTTTTTTTAAACCCAGTAATACTTTGCCCGACCCGGGAATCGAACCCGAGACCCCTTGCCCGGCAGTCGCACTTGCGACCACTCGGCCAATGAGGCAGTCATAGCCAGGCAGTTCCTCGTCAAATAATTACGTGAGTAAGCCGAAAAACATACTAATTAATTTAGTATGTCTCATGAAAGTCATAACATGAAAAAACGCATATGTTGAAACTTTATTATGCATAAGGGACGGGTACCTAAGTATCGAACCAGAAATCGCGATATCAAAATTATAACGCAAATGCCTCCGACTTACCAACAGTACTTTATTAATAAGTACAAAACTTCAATAAAGGAACGTCGAAGTACAAATAGTTATCACGTCAGTAAACAAAATTATCGGCTAACAGTTTGAATCCCCTCAAATTAAGGAGTTTTCAGTTGAGCCTTTCATTTGACTACACGACATCGACCGTGCCTTTAAAATCGTACTATTTTAACGCATACACCAAATGCCTTCTATTAGAGTCCAATTTCCCGTAAAATCGACGTCGCATACAAAATCTATATATATAAAATTCAAAGGTGATTGACTGACTGACTGATTGACTGACTGACATAGTGATCTATCAACGCACAGCCCAAACCGCTGGACAGATTGGGCTAAAATTTGGCATACAGATAGATGTTATGACGTAGGCATTCGCTAAGAAAGGATTTTGATAATTTCCACCCCCAAGGGGGTAAAAAAGGGGATGAAAGTTTGTATGAGACTTTGTCAGTTTTAAACCGATCGGGTTGTAATTTGGCATGCAGATAGATGTTATGACGTAAGCATCCGATGTGAAAGGATTTTGATAATTTCCACCCCCAATGGGGGTAAAATAGGGGATGAAAGTTTGTATGAGACTTTGTCAGTTTTAAACCGATCGGGTTGTAATTTGGCATGCAGATAGATGTTATGACGTAAGCATCCGCTATGAAAGGATTTTGATAATTTCCACCCCCAAGTGGGTAAAATAGGGGATGAAAGTTTATATGAGCCTTTGTCAGTTTTAAACCGATCGGGTTGTAATTTGGCATGCAGATAGATGTTACGACGTAGGCGTCCGCTATGAAAGGATTTTGATAATTTCCACCCCCAAGTGGGTAAAATAGGGGATGAAAGTTTATATGAGCCTTTGTCAGTTTTAAACCGATCGGGTTGTAATTTGGCATGCAGATAGATGTTACGACGTAGGCGTCCGCTGTGAAAGGATTTTGATAATTTCCACCCCCAAGTGGGTAAAATAGGGGATGAAAGTTTATATGAGCCTTTGTCAGTTTTAAACCGATCAGGTTGAAATTTGGCATGCAGATAGATGTTATGACGTAAGCATCCGCTTTGAAAGGATTTTGATAATTTCCACCAAGGGGGTAAAATAGGGGATGAACGTTTGTGTGAGGCTTTGTCAGTTTTACACCGATCGGGTTGAAATTCGGCGTGCAGATGGATATTATGACGTAAACGTCCCTTTAGAAAGGTTTTTGAACATTCTCACCCCAAAGTATGATACTTTGCCAGTTTTAAATTGATCGGGCTGAGACTTTGCATGCATAAAGTTACTATGACATAGGTATCTCTTTAGAAAGGATTTTGATAAATTCCACCCCTAAGGGGATAAAATAGGGAATGAGAGTTTGTATAAATCTTCTTAGCCGTTGAATTTAGAATCATTGAATCTTTTTGAATTACATTCGGTAAAACGATGATTTGGGACCTGGGTAACGTATGATAGTTTTTTCACAGATGTCTCACGAGAACGGGAACTATGCGTCAATGCCCCAGGACTCTCTAACTCTTAACCACTGAACTTATTCTAGAGAGATTCGGTACAACAATAGTCGATAGAATAGTTTTTATTACTCAAACCTTACGTGATCGGGCACTGTACTGGTAAGATCCCTGCGGGATTATTTATTTATTGAAACTACGATAAATCATTTCAAAATAGGTAAATCTTACTTGGGCACTGAATTGATTCTGGTTAATTCTGTCAGAAGTCATTAATCTACGCGGACGAAGTCGCGGGCAACAGCTATCTACACATATAATAAATCGTAGAAAAGTCAAAACTGTACATTGAATATTTTTTAAAAGAATATTTGAAGCGTGATCTCTAATCGATACCGAAGCCAATAATGTGGTTTTTAGAATTTTTGTCTGTTTGTCTGTATGTATGGCCGTGATGATCTCAAAAAGTACTGCACTACTATTTCAAATTTTGCATGAATATTACTAACAAGTCTGGTAAACATATAGGCTACATATTATCACGCTATCATCTACGGGACTGAATCAATTCTGACGACATCCATTACCGTAGAATATCCCTTGATAAAAACTAATTCAAAAGCCTAAATTCTGCCAGAAGTCATTATTCTACGCGGACGAAGTCGCGGGCAACAGCTAGTAAAATATAAGACAACTGAGCAAATTACCAAGTTAAGCACTACTTAAAATTTCATTCGGTTAACGGGCGTGTTGCATTCGATACGTAGGTAATGGATGACTGTCGTTAACTTAACACGGTAATCGTTTATTTGTCATATCGATATGTTTGCTCTTTCTTCTAAATATTATTCAACTAGTATTATGAACTATTGGTGGTTATTTATCAACGACATTGTTTTTAGTAACGTAAATATAACGTGACAAAATGAGCTTAATGGCTTTTTAGACCGATAAACTAGGACAATAGCAACTGTTCGTGCAAATACACTGTACAGAGTACAACTTCAATAGAGTTTTAACCTTATCATTTTGCATTAAAGTTGAAATTTGACAGATTATCGGTTTGATGGGCTATTTCTGTAAGCCTTGTATTACAGAACTTGTAGACTGTATTTTGAGCCAATTACAACATGCATTTCTTAGTGCAATAAGTACTGCCTCATGAATGTATTGTACGAAGAAATAGGTAATAGTTGAAAATGACAAGTTTGACGAAAGGATCTTTGGATATTTTAACAGATACTTGCTAATTTATAAGGCGACGTTCGGTCGTTTCTAGGGCAGCTAATGTTCAAATAGAATTAGTACTTCTGCTTGAATAAATGTTTCATCAATTCCTATTTGTGATGCTATTGTCTACGTCATTTTTAAACTTTGTGTTGCTACCGTGTTTTGGATTGTTATCAATAGTAAAATAGCTAGAACCAACAGCAGTGAAGAAACTGAGATTTTTGTTTAATGCTAATAAATTTAACTGCCTCGTTGTTATATACCTATCAAGGACCTCGGAAACGGTTCCAATGGTTTTCCTGAAATTTTGTCTTTAGGAATTTCGGGGGCGATAACTCGATCTAGTTAGGTTTCATTTTTAATAACGCTTGTATATTCAGGTACTGCCTTATTGACCGAGTGGTCGCAAGTGCGACTGCCGGGCAAGAGGTCTCGGGTTCGATTCCCGGGTAAGGCAAAGTATTACTGGGTTTAAAAAAATCTCAATAGTAGCACGGAGTCTGGAATTGTGCTCAGTATATGGCAATAGGCTCACCCCCTGTTACATGGGATTCATAACATAAATAGTGAAAAGTGGGTGTTGCATTGTACAGTGGCATAATGTGCACCTCTGCCTACCCCTTCGGGGATAAAAGGCGTGCTGTTATTAAGAGTATCCGCAACACATTGAAATGAAAAAACTCTAGATCTTATGACGTGCTCGTTCTAAACAATTTTTAAACAACTAAACCATTATGTAGGTACATGAATAATTCGCAGTGTTTATGTTTACTCTTAACTAGGGCTCCTATTAATAATATGACCTAATACCCCGCCATGATTGATCGTTGTGTATAAATAAAATAGGGAAAAGCTAACAAGGCAATTAAATATGACATATCAACACAGTTGTTGATATTTACTAGGTTTTATTATACATATGATATTATCTACAGCATATATTATTATATTTTTCCCTGCAATTTCACAATTATTCGGGTGGATTGGTCAT